ATGTCCTGCTCTTAATTAAATGCATAGTTGAGCCAAAAATAGATTTAAGAACAGGATGTGGCTTTTAAAAGTGTGAGAAAGTATTTCAAATAGAATAATTAATTAGGAAGAAGTTTTATAGCAGAGAAACTAACATAAAAAGATTAATTGAAGCTTTTTATGTTACATATATATATATATATATATATTTACTTTCGAAAATTTAATTAAATTTAAAATTATTTTTAAAAATGAGCAGCATGATTCATTAAAAACTATTTTATTCGTACTTAGTGAAAAGCTCATTAAATAAAAAAAATCTTCTGATGCCTACTTTAAATCTTAATAGAACTTAAAGAACAAGTGAAATTGCGTGAAATAAGGAAAATAAAATTTTGAGTAAATTAATTTCTTCTTTAAACATAAGTTATGAATTATTCATTGGCAAAAACTCGGTAAAAAGATCTTCATTAGATGTATGCGAAAGAAAAAAACATATCGAACATAAAATATATATAAATATGATACTTTAAGTAATTATGATGTATTTCATTTGTACAAGTTAAATTTAGTTTTTTTTCGATTAAATGTTCACAAAGGCAAAGTAACGCTAGAATATTTTGTAATTATTCAATATTTAAATTATATAGAAAAAAGATTTCAATAAGGAAGATTTTTTTTATTAATTCTCCCTTTTTTATTGTTTACTTAATTATTTTTATATCAAAACTTGGCTCTATTAAATTTGGATGTTTATTATATGATTTGAATTATGTTTTATCTGTAATTAAATTTAAGTAAAATGCATTTTTTTTGTAATTTTTCAGTGATGTAATTTTAAACGAAATGTAATTTATGTAATTTTTAGCAATGTTCAACCCCTCAGGGGGTATACCTCTTTTAGGTTAGCACTGTAAATCACACCCCCGGAGTGCTCCAGTGATCTGTCCTTCCTTCGTTTTCCTCTCCCTTTACTCCTACTTTCTCTTTTCTCTTACCCTTTGTCGTAGTCGCCAAATTTAATGGTGAGAGCTTTTCGTCTGTGCTCGATTACCTACCTGTTGTAGAGGATCCTGATAAGAAGAGACCACCCACGTTTTCGCCAAGCGTGGAGTCCCGTCGTGGGACCTTAAAATTATTAACAAATTGCACTCAATTAAATCAGATACTAACCCTTCACCTGCATTACGACTGCGTCACACAAAAATTATCCTAATCCATTTCCGAATCAACCACACTCGTTTAACGCATCTATATTTGCTGTTTTAAGAACCGTCTTCCCATTGCTACTCTAACAATATTAAAATCCAGTGCAACTTTTGATTAACCATATTTTAACTATTTGACCTTGTTCTAACTCTTATGGTCTTACTCTTTATGGTATTTTGGTAGTAGTCTTATTTTTTCTCGAGAGAATTTGTAAGGAGACACTCATAATCCTAACACTTTTTCCTTTCTGCGCTCAATTGGTATTTTATATTGTCTATAACTGTATTATCCTATTTACACTTTTATCTGATTTAATTCCTGTTTCGAACCTGTTTCATCTTGTTTTATAGTAATAATATTTTAGCTGATTTTATACATTTTCGAATACACTTGTTACATTGTGTAAATTTTATTAAGAAAAAAATAGCAGGATGCTTTTCGCCTTTGATTTGTTTTGAAACCGATTGTTAGGAGCAACATGCCCTTTTGCGGATCTTGTGCCATTAAACTCTACATTCAATTCAATAAAAGTGAACAAGTTTAGTTTAGTTTCTTATTATTTTCAATGCCTTCTCTTTTAACTACATATTTTCGCAAAATTACTTAAGTATCAAATCAATTCCTCTAATATTTTTATAAAGAAAAATCTTTAAGCTTACGTAGATATGTAAAAACGATTTGACGTATTTGATTTAAAATTATATACCCAATTTGGCATTTTTTTAGTTGAATGAAATAATTGGCAATGGGACAAAATTACAAAACTGATAAAGTATTCAAGCGTTTCTGAAAAAGTAAAAAAAAATATAAAAATTCTAAAATAAGTAAATAAAATTGAAATTAAAACTCCATTGAACTTCTGTTAAATTAGCAGCCTCGTTTAAATTCTTGTTAATTATATTACACTTTTCATCTCACAAATTGCCACTAACAATAACTTTATCATTGCCCATTTCGGCTCAAAATTGGTTCAATATGGGACCTATAAGAACATGCACCGAAGGACCAATATTGGGATGTCTACATTTTTTAATATCGGGCTAATATGAGGTCTATATAGGCTGAATAATATATATAAAATATCGGGTGAATCTCGCACTTTTATGTAAGGCCGATATTAATTGTAAAGTCACTGTAAAATATCAGGTAAAGAGGGCTATTCTATATAGGACCAATATCGGGAAAATAATAGCATTTTGATCCTTTATTGAGCCAAGATTCATGAATATTGGTCAAATAAGGGCCCAAATTATTTTGCTGCTTATGGCGTTGAGATTTAATACATTGTCGGAAACACTGAGAGAAAATGCTGGAGTTACTCTTGACATTTTTTTTACTATTATCAAGGTCAATATTTTTGTATTTCTTTTTATGAATGATGTTTAAATGGCGTTTTACGCACTGAATGATGTCTAAATAAGTGTTAATAATAAAAAATAAAACTTGAATTCTGATAAATGAATTGTTGTGACTAAATTCTTATGAACACAATTTGACAACTTACAAAGTACGTTGAGTGTCCATGCATCATGAATAACACTGTGAGGCAAGGCTGGATTTTCTGCTTTGCATAAAACTGTTTTTCCATTGTCTTCAGAATTGATAGTTAGATGAAAACTACTATACGTTATATTTCTATTTACAAAAAAGGATTGCCTGTTGTTTTGGATGATTTTATTATCAATCCACCAAGATAATTTAGCTGCCGGCCTTGAACCAGATGTCTCACAGTCAAGTCGAAGGTCAGTCCTTGCTTTCAAAGGCTTTGGAGTAGTTGTTATATGTACGTATAATGGACGCACTGAAAAATAATTAAATATTAATGTGTAACCTTTTTAGAATATGAAAAATTATACTATGATTAATTAAAATTGAAGGCATTCAAACTTCTCAAATAAATTGCTCCATGCATTTATTTTATATTTGTAATTTTACTATTGATGCATTGAACTACGGAAACTACATTTATACTAAATTAACAAATGGTATAAAATTAATAATTAATAAAGTTTTTATTTTTCGCATAGAACAAATTAAATATTGAATCTATTGAACCTATTTGACTTTTGAAAATGTCTTGGGAACATTAATTATTTGTTTCAAGTTTAGTTCAGTTACTGATTTCTTTTAGATGCCATATTGATCATAGAAACACTATTTATTTCAATTCATTTAAAAATATTCTATGTATGCAAACTATATGCTTTGAGGCGTTCACTAATTAAATTCAACACATACGAGTATTCTAAAAGAATGAATAAATGAATGGTATACGATAATTAAAACACACTTAATATTAACGTTTCGCGTATTTTCAAAATACTTAGTGCAACATTTAACAATCGTCTTATTTCCTATCACCTACAGCACGTATTTTAATTCATTCTGTATGAAAATAAGAGGAGCAAATTTTGAATTTAACTTAAGTAAATACTTATAACTAAAGCAAAATCACGTAAAACTTTATGCAGTGATTTAGTTCATATTTAGTATCTTTAAATACGTTTGTAATATACATAGTAACAGATAAAATTTTTGATTTACAAAAGGAAAAAAAAGGAAAAAACACCAATCTATTATTATAAGCATTTATGTTAGTCCACCATACAACTCAATCATGCATGGTTGAAAAAATACAATTCTGTCTTATAAAAATTAAATATACGGTATTTATATCATTCAATATCTGCAATTTTTCTATTTATACGGTAACAGTTTACAGGACGTTATAATTTTCAAAATTATAGATTTTATTACAGCACAATTAGTAAAAAATACAAAACTGAAGAGTAAACTTATCCAAATAAATTTGTATGAAATATGGTATTATGATAAAATTACCAAATTTTGCTACATTTACCAAGAATTATCAAGGATTATAAAATCATAAGGCGAAGTTTATTGTCTATGTCATTCAAATATTACCAAAATTCTTTGGTAAAAATTATCGAGCTTTTTGGTATTGCCATGCAGCTTGAAAGACGGAAATTCAACCATATTCTGATAGTTATGACAATCTTTTCTCAGTGCAATATGCATATATATTGTATTTTTTAAAGTCACTGCTTTGCATGGAAGTTTGAAGCTACATATTGTGTATTTAAATGTAAATACATTTTTTTTTATTTTGACTTTTCGTTATTTAATATTTCAATGTTAGTTGGTTTGACTATTTTGTGTATTACTCATGGTTCTCAGTTTCAAGTGCTACGGAGTTATTAATTTAACCACATATATTAAAAGTAAAGAGCTGCCAATTACAGAACGGAAAGAGGAAAAAATATTGCTTCTACAAATTATGCAAATGTAAGAAGCAAATATTGATTTATATCATGCTTACGGTTTAAATCAACGTAAACGGAAGTGCTGAGAGGGTCAGTGAGATTTGTGTTTGATGCTTGGCAAACAAGCTCCAGCATAAAATCAGATCTTCGAATTTCTTTTATTACTAGCTCATTTCTCACAAAACCTTTAGCAGTTCGAAAATAAGTTTCATCCAACATGTGGCCGTTCTTCCACCACGTTACAACAGGAGCAGGGTTTCCTAAGAGAAAAGAAAATAATGTTATTAGTGTTATAAAATACCGCTTTTAATAAAGTAATTTTTCATCATTCACAGGCAACAACTAAAACTACGATATTTAAATTAGATTTATATGCATATATATATATATACATATATATGTGACTAGGTGGCGCAGTTGGTTTGTCGTCGGCCTTCTGAGCCCAAGTCTGCGGGTTCCATCCCCGGCCCAGACACTGGATTTTCGGGATGTAGAAAATCCTCAGCGGCCATGTCGTATGATTATGCGGCATGTAAAAGATCCCTGAAGTGCCTTATTGGCATTTCCAGAAAAATTAAATTCCTAGTGCACTTTAGCATCCAAATAGAGTCTCGGTGCTGCCATCTAGTGTGGCAGAAGCTAGACGTCCAAATTAACATGGCCAACGGTATCTCACCCATTGTGGTGGTCCTGAAAAAGTGGATACCACTTCCGGAGAACGCACTAGATCTGCTCATCGGGAAGACTGATTGTGCAGCTCATTGGAAATAAAAAAAATATTCATATATATATATATATATATATAGGTTATTTTTTTCTCCCAATTGATTGCATACCGAATGTGAAGTAAATGAGTTATATTTTAAATGCTTAATTAATAATTTTAAAATATGTCTCATGTTATTTTTTTTAAACATAAACTATTCAAAATGATTCTGATTCTGAGAATATCATGAACAGTGCGCAAAATGAATGGACCGCCCGGAATTACCTTGGATTTAATGATCGGACCTTAAAGTATTAGAACTCATTCTTAATAATTCGTAGAGGCGACCTCAAATATACTTATTAATTAGGGCAAACTATATTTTAAATTAGGAAATCAGATACGAAAAAGTACTTTCGCTGAATAAACTTTCCTTTGTTTACGAATTCGGATTTCTGACCAGCAAAATATAGAATGTAACTGCTATCTGTGGAATACGATCATATATATATATAGTTCATATCATATATATAGTTTGGTCAGGAAAGCGATCCAAACTTTAGAGCTCTAAATGTTAATTTTACTTTTCACGTTTTTCACCATAATTTTCAGCGAATTGAAAAAATTTTGCGCATAGTTAATAAATTCGTTTATACAAAGATAATTCCATGCAAAAAATTTATTTTAGTCATTATTTATTATTTTTCATTATTTTTTATCATTTTATTAAATAATAGACGAAAAAATTTGAATTGTAAAGTATACATTTTCGAAAATAATTTAAAAGTTTGTAATTTTGAATAAAAAAATTTGAGCTAAGTTGGTTGAATAATTCTTTAGAAATGGAATTTTAAAGAAGTCGAATGTTTAAAATTTGATTTTTAGGAACTATTAAACAGAGTTTTCTCAAATTTTGTATTTTGACATGTTTTTAAAATTATGTAAAAAATTGTATGCCTTACAATTCAAAATATTTTCGTCTTTCATTTCATGAAATATCAAAAAATTATACTTTCACTAAATTTTTTTAACTTTGGATAATTGAATTTTAAGATTGAGTACAATATTTTTTCAATTCGCTTAAAAAATCCTCAAGATATGGTGAAATACGCAAAAAATAAAATTAGCTTTAAGGGGTTCTAACTTCTTATCGCTATCTTGACCAAAGGATTGGGACTATGCCCTCTATATATTGGGGATCAGAAATCTTAATTCGTCGAAAAAAGGAATATATTCATAGAAAGTTTATGTTGTCTGATTCCTTAACTTAAAATATCGTCTGGGCTAATTAATTAGCATATTTAAAGTCTCCCTCTCACACCATTAAGATTGAGTCCTAGAGCGTGAAGATTCAGTCATTGGTCCGTTTTCATTTTGCGAACGGTATATTCAGAATTCATTTACTTATTCAAAAGTTTAGGTATAATTTTTAATTTTCAAATATTTTTAATTAAATATGAATCTTATATTATTTTTAAAACCATTTTTCTAATAGACAATTAATTTTAAGAAATGTTATAACAAAATTTTCTTGGAAATGACTCACATATATCTCTGTATGCGGTTTTGACAGTGATTATAGGATTTTTTAGATGCTAAATCTGAGAAAGAAAAATACTTAAATAAATTTTTATGAATTTCTGTATGTCATTTGTAGAAATTTAGCGTATTTACATACAAAATTTTTCACTTTCACTCATTAAATTCAGAACTATAAAAACTGACAAAAGTGACTAATTCTTGTGAGCAGAAAATGGTGTATTTACCTTCTTCGGCTTCGCAATGTAAGGAAAGACGAGATCCTTCGTCATATGGTCCAGCCAAGTTTTTAAGTTTTTGACCTCTGTCATCCATTATTACAACTGTTTGGGGAGGCACTGCAAAAACGATTTTCATAAGTACAATCTTCATCATTATGCTAGGTGAAATCTCCGTTTAATGTATCATAGTTTTAATATATTTAAATTGCATGAATCAAACCGAACTTTTCTGAGAAAAGTATTTTTTTAGTGCCTATTCTAATAATTTTCTAACTCAAATTTATTAGGAGCAGAATTCTAAACTTATTAAGTAAATCAGTAAACATTTGCATGAATAACTAACATTATTACTAATAATCAATACAATAAAATTGATGGTTAAGTCAACTAAGGTTTAAGTATGGTTTTTTTAGAGTAATAATTAAAATACTGATAATTACGTTTTTTTGATGGATTTCAATTAAGTTCATTGTCAAATTAGAAAGAAAAAATGATTTCTATACGATGTGTAGTAAGCTACATCTTTTTTTGACAGATACGCAGTTATATTTAACAAAAAATAATTAGTATAATATTAGTAGTAATAATAATATTAATAGTAGTATGATATTAACATTAATAGTTGCATACTATTAATATTAATTGTAACATTAATAGTAATGAAAAATACTTATATTTATTTGCAATGAAATAAGATATAAATAAATGTTTACTTTAAATAAGCACTGAAATGACAGGAATCATTAAATTAATTTACGTAAGTGTAAAGTTTGTAAAGCGTTTAACATATACTAAAATCATTTTTTCCCTAAAATGACACACTGAATTTAAAAGAAAGGATTTCATTTTTTTATCGTTGAGAAGTTTCTTATTTTGAATCCATGTTCTTTTACTTTTAAGTTACATATAAATTGATGTTTGGGTAAACAACAAATGATAACAGTACTACATATTATAACTGAAAAAAAGGTAGCAAAGAATTCAGGATAAAGATTTTTTCTACCCTTGAAAGAATTATTATTCTTGGTTGAAAGACTGATACCGAAGCTGGATAGTGTACTTAAGGTTTATGTATATTCTTTTTAGAGTAATAAATAAAATACTGATAATTACTCATTTCCGATAGATTTAAATTAAGTTTATTGTCATATTGGAAATAAAAAAAAACAATTTCTATATGGTGTGAAGTGAACTACATCTTTTTTTTGTCAAGTACGCAGCAATAGTTTAAAGAAATAATAATGAAAATTACTTATATTTATTTTAAATGGAATAAGTTATAAATAAATGCTTACTTTAAATAAGCACTAAAAAAACAGGAAGCATTATATTTATTTTCATAAGTATAAAGTTTGTAAATCGTTTAACAAGTACTGAAATCCTTTTCTCGTTAAAATGTCACATTGGATTTATAAGAAAGGATTTCATTTTTTTATCAGTGTGAAGTTTCTTATTTCAAATCCTTGTCCTTTTACTTTCAAGTTACATAAAAAATTTGATGTTTGGGTAAATAACAAATGATAACATTACCAGATATGATAACTCAAAACAAAGGTAACAAAGAATTCTGGATAAAGATTTTTTCTTCGCCTGAAAGAATTCTTATACTTGGTTGAAAGACTGATACCGAAGATGGATAGTGTACTTAAAAGATTTGCGAGAACATTTTTTGGGGAAAAAAGTAATACCGAAAAGGGTTTCTTGCTTCTCTGTAGATTTGTCAGTTAAAAAACGAAAAGCAATAATGCATCTAGGGAGATTGATCGGCTTAATACTTAGCAAAATTTAAAGAATTACTTTCCTTTTTTAGGCTTAAGAACATTTATTCTTACAAATTTCGAAAATAAAACCTGAGTTTTTAAAGCTGTGAACATAAATATTTTTTAATCGAACATTTTCCAAGCCTTTAGATAAATATAATTTGTAACACTTTAAAATACATTTATGCTACGTATTATTTGTTTTCGTTATTTTTCTCTTATATTTTGCTGTTATTTTAGCAGAGTCAAATAAACCATGCTACAACAGTGTATTAAATAATATTGTTTGACTTATGGCTAAATCATAAGCAAGTTGCTAAATAAAGTGACGTAATTGAAAAAAAAATCAAAACAAGTATAAATTACGAATGAATTATTAAGTCTTAAAAAGATATTAAGGAATGCATAGTATGCTTGATGATAATACACAAAAAGGCGTTTTGTATTTGAATGCATAGTACGTATAGTTGGCAATAGAATTGCATAACACGCATAGTTAACATACAGAAACGTGTAGTGCTATCTTAATGATACAACAGCCTGACATCAAGAAGATTTTGAATCAAATGTTGGTCATTTAACGGTTGTCTCTTGGTTTCCTACATTTCATCAATATCAACATTATGTCTGGAATCATTAATGTAGGAAAATCTTCCGCACTCTATTAGAAATAGTTATCAGCCTTTTCGTTATATATAAAACTTGTTTAAAACATTCTTCAAAAAATATCGTATGGATATTTGAATTCCAATTAAAATGCGTCGGTAAACGATATAAAATGGTAAAAATAAAAAATTTTAAATTTTATTCTTTTTATACTGGGTGATTGTCTCTATTTCACTGCACCTCGCACATATTATGAGAAAAAAATATGTTCAAAATTACCAGAATTTGGGAAAAATTAATATGGTATTTTAAAAGTACTCCATATTATTAGAGAGATTTTGTATAGGATTATGGTTCTCCTAACTCCAACGTCAACGCTATTTGAGTTTCACAAGTTATGTGAGAAAATTTCCCTACAAATCGCTGCGTCTTCAAAGTCTTAGAGAATAAAATTAGTGTTATGGTTGAAGAAAGTCAAACGCTATGGTGAAGCTTCCAGTTCAGATTTCTTTCTTTTTCCCTTCACACAGCGGAAAAATTCTGGTAAAATTATAGTACTGTAATGACATTTATAGTTAAAAAAAAACATATTTTTTGCTAATAAAATTAAAATGTGCCATATTTATACCATATGGTAACGGATTACCCGAAATTCTGGTTATCAAAATTAGAGTTCTTTTTATCGCCCATTTAGTAAAAAGTACAAAACTGAAAAGTAAATTTAACCGAGTGAAAGATTTTTATAGCATGATCTAATGTATCATAATAAAATTACCAAATTTTATAACATATACAAATTTTTATCACATATTATAAAACCGTATTTTAATTTTAGTTTTCACAAAATCATTACAGAAGCACTTCGCTCAAAATTACCGAAGCCAGAGTTTTTTAGTTAGCCATAAAGCCAGAAACACGATTAAGTTGGCCATATTCTGCTAGTTTTGATCATGCATTTTTCCACTGTACCATAAGTTGGCGTTTTTTTTTTTTATAATCAATGAAAGCAACACTAAGAAATTGCAATTACCTATTATATTAAGCTTTACTATCCTGGTATCAATCCTTGATCTTTTATATTCTATTCGACATTTATATATTCCTTCATCATCAACATGTGTCGGTTTAATTTTTAAGGTCGGTGGATATTCGCTAGTATCAAAATAAGATCTATCTTTAAGTGCTTTTGCAGGAAAATGCTTTGCTTGCTCCGGATGACCTTTTCGAAAATCCAAAGTATAGATGGGTGATTTTGAGCCTTCTCGAAACCACAGGATCAGGGATATCAACTCTGGATCTTTGGGAATTGCAATGTTACATGGAAGACTTGCCTCACCTCCAGATACAGCTAAGAATTCTCGAATAGGTACTGAAAAAGAATATTAAAGTTCTGAGTTTGAATGGAAAAAAAATTATATTTTTTGTAATTCTATAATAAATATATAATATATACAACATAGAGAATATACGTAAGTCATAGGATAGTTGATTTTTAAAAAAGAAATTCTGATTCCATAGGATCAAAGTTTCAAGTCTGTTAAAATTATCGTCTTCATCTGATAAAATATGGATTTCAAAATATATGATAAAACATATATTTTGAAATCCATATTGTACTTTAAAGCTAATTAATAAAAATGCTCAACAATCTATTTAGCGTTTCTGCAAGTTTTCAATCGGTAGTGCTTCACGCTGTCGTGCCACAGGTCCCTGGTTTGATCCTTGGGCTGGGAAAGGTTGACTCAGCCTTTCCCTTCAGTGGGTCGATAAATGAGTATCAAGCATGCTTGGGAACTAAACACTGGGGACTCCACGTTCGGCTGACCACCTGACCGGAACATCTGCTCCTGCACCCCAGAGCCCAAGGTCAAGAAAGCTGTGATGAGCACAGTAGGCCTTGGCCCTCTATGGGCTGTCGCGCCGCTGAGTTCAGTTTACAAGCGTTCAATGCGCTATCCTATGCGCTTTTTTTGGTGGAAAAGAAATTATCAAAGAAATTATCAATTATCAATTATCATATTATTATTCAGAGAAATTATCTAAATATCTGTCTATATTTACTTACGTTATTCTCAAAAAGGTATTGAAAATATAGTTCTCTTATCATGTTTAATATCTATCTCTTACCATTTATAATCTTATTGTCCAAGAGTTTTAAGATTTACTTTTACATTTTAAACTAATGGAATGAAACTAAAAAGACTATTTGACACGTTTCTATTATTATAAAAGCCGAAGTCTTTTTTTAAGAAATGAGTCATGCTAATTTCACATCTTTTAAAATTGTGATTAAAATCCGTATTCTTGTTGTTTAATTATTCATTTAAGTAATAGTGCTAATTAATAAAATAAAGTGTACAGACATCGAGATGATAAAAGTCATGGGATAGCAATATGCAACTATAAAGATGGCAGTAGTATCACGTATAGACTGCAATTATGTGTAATGCACTGCTTGACTTTTATTTATTTTCAAGTTATTCATCTGAGAATGTTTCTGATGTAATTATGACTACCTGACAAGAATTAACGGACTTTGAAAGTCAGATGACCGTCGGAGCTAGAGGCATGAGACTTTCTCTTCTGTAATTTGTGAATTACTTCAACATTTCTATATTTACAGAGTTAAGAATGGGCCGAGGATACCTATTATCAGGCATAACCCCTAACCCTGGACAACGTAGTAGCCGACCATCTGCACTTAATGATCGAGATTGCCGAGGTGTGCGTAAAACTGTCAGTGTTAATAGACAAATATTGAGTAAAATAACCGAAAGTGTCAATACGGGTCGTAAAACACACATGTCCGTTACAGGACTTTTTGTCAAAATTTGCTGTATTGGGATATGGCAGTAGAAGATCAACTCAAGTGCTTGAACTATTAGCACGACATCACGTCATGCGCCTCCCCTGGAGTCATTGCCATATTAGTTGGACCCTAGACGACTGGAAATGCTGTAGCTTGATCAGATGAGTTACGGTTTCAGCTGGTCAAAGTTGATGGCAGAATTCACACATGTGTGGCATGAAGCCATGGACCTAAGTTGTCGAATACTGGCAATTTGTAACTAGTACTGTCTAAGTACTGGAAAATCTGGTAGTTGCTCCATAGTGTTGTCTGTTGATTTTTCCTGACATGAACTAGGTTTTATAGTCCGATTGCACCAATCATTGATTGGAAATTGTGGTGGTTAGTTATTAGGAGACCACTTGCAGCGAATCATGGACTTCGTGTATCTAAACAACGATGGAATAGTTATGGATGTCGCCTTAATTGTTTACGACTTGTTGGAGAATATTCCAGACAGTGCCAGCTAATGATTTGGCCACCTAGATCAACTGGCATGAATCTCTCCGAATATTTATGGGGTATAATCAAGAAGTCTGTTCATGTGCAAAATACTACACTCTAGAACACTTTTCCAATTATGGACAACTATTGCGGTAAAATATTCCTGAAAAAAATAATTTCAACTAAACTGTCCATGACGCGTTGAATTGCTGCACTTCGTAGAGCGAGAGGAGATCCGACACAATATAAAAAGTATCCTACAACTTTAATCACTTCAGTGTATAAAGCTTATTAAAGCACCATGAAACATTTATACAAAATAAAATAAAATATTAGTTTCTTTTTATTTTATTTGGAAGAATTAAAAATGAATTCTACCCACGGTATTCTAGTCGCTAATTAATTGAACAATTCTCCCCACTTCAGAATAACAGTGAGCGTTACAGATAATTAAAAATTACTGTTCTGGCAGAGATGATGCCCTCACTTAAATGTAATAACTACTAACAGAGGAAAATTAAGCGTGCATTCTGATACTTATAAGCTGCGATAAGTTGAACTATTTATACAAATTTTTATTTAAAAAGACTCTTTACTGTATCTGAAAATCAAATTGATTTCGAAGGAAGCTTCTTACTAAAATATGAGTAACTATGCCTAATTTTTCACAGTGAAATGGCCAGTCATGACGCCTTCCAGTTTCATATAAGTGAAATTAATAAAAAATAAAGGCTAACTGTAATAAAAAAAAATAATATTCGGTCTCTCATGTATTAGCCCATTTTTAAAGAAATTTAACACGAGAACTGTTAGTTTAAAAAATTTTAACTTTGCAGTAATAAATAAAAAAATAAAAATAACAATAATGTTTTGTCTTTAGCGGATACATCTGCTTCTGTAAGGATTTACTAGTGACTACTGTGGTTCTTTGTAGTATTAAAGTAGTAAAAATAATAAGCCTAAACATTAAATTTATAAATGCTAGGTTGCTAAAAAAATAAACAACAATTTCAGTTAAAACATTAACATTTACACTGTATTGAAAATAATATTAAAATATTTGAATTTTATGAAAATAATCGAAAGTTACCCAATCAGTTTGTACATCGTAATTTAATGTGAAGAAGAATTAGAATAGTCAGTATTTCTAATTTATAAGAAAATTTCAAGAACAAATTTGTCATAAATGTATAATATTCATTTTAGGTAAACTTTGCTACATAATCTACGTATAATAAACAGGATTTTTAAATTAAAATTGGAAAAATTTACATTATATCAAGTTTGTTATACGAAATTCTCTAACTTAGAGTTTCACCTAAGCAACTTCATTGAAGTTTCACGTGACATTAAACTCTTACCTCGTTTGAATTATAGTCTTTACGTGATTCTATTTTCTTTACTAATGGGAACTCCTTCTTTTATTTCCTTTGACAAGTTTTATAAGGAAAATATAAGTTATTGCATATATTACGAATCTCAGAAATTTAGTGGGAAATTCTGAACTGGATTAAAAATACTAGATTAAAATGTAGGCATTTATATAATATATGAAGAAAAAGAATCATTAAGCACGCACAACGGAATATTTCTCTGCTTTGCATGATTATTAAGAACGTGACTTGGTTTGAAATTAAAGTAATCTCTTGATTCACGATACGAGTGAAAATAATAGGCACAATTTTAATCCACTATTCTATAGAAATATTCTTATTTCGTACTTTTCCTGATAAAATTTTTTGAATCATAAATTAATTTATATTAAAAAGAAACTAAGCATTAAAAGTTTCTATACGTTTTTAAAATTTGTTTAGTTTAGCTCAATTTGTTTAATAATTAAATTTAATCATTTTAGAACCTAAGAAATTGAAAAATCTTAAAACTAAATATTCAATTAATGCACCATGCTCGAAATTACTTTTCGAACGATACTGTAAGTTTATGTGTTATAAATTTGTATGTTTATACAGCGCAATAATAATATAAATAAGTGGAAATAAATTTAAATAATGGTAATATTAAATCAAATTATCCAATCTTAACGAAAATTCTGATCAATGCCGTACACAAATATACTTAAAAAAAAAAAGAAAANGATTAAAAATAAAAAGTATATATATAAACTCATGTTTGTGAAAATTGCAACACCATGAGGGACTTACGCGAGTGAGTTGAAATTTTCAGGAAATGCAAAGTAGAGCATAATATGCAAAATTGATTAGAATTTCAGACCCGTAGCGCATGTGTATGCTGAGAAGCGCCCTCTGAACGGCGGATGGATCCGAATAAATAGACAGCTGTAGCGAGGCGTGTATGGTTATTGGTGGTTATCTGCTAGTGGTAAACGCTAGCTCAGACGTTATTTATGCCTCTTCGACGAAAGAGAGTCCAGATTTCAAGAACTTACGGAGTTTGAAAGGGGGAGAATCATCGGCCTTCGTAAAGCTGGATTGTCTTATAGTGCAGTAGCCACTCGTGTGCAGCGTAACAGCAGCACAGTGATGCGTGTTTGGAAGCAGTGGACGGACGAGTGTCAGACAACTCGGAAATCCGGCAGTGGACCACGAAATGTCACGTCAGCTCGCGATGATAGACACCTGGTCCGCATAGCGCTGACATATCGTACGGCTCCCTCTAGACAACTGGCAGCACAGTGATCAATAGCTACAGGTGTTTCATTGTGTGCTTCGTCAATTCGTAGACGTCAACTGCAGAATGGACTGCGAGCAAGGACTCCTTTATACAGGATCACCATCACGCTAAGCCACAGCCGCCTGCGGCTACAATGTGCCAATCAGCATAGGGACTGTCGTGCTGATTGGCAGCGTGTCGCGTTTTCTGACGAATCCCGCTTTAATTTGTGGTAACATGATGGCCGCATTCGTGTCAGACGCTATGCCGGTGAACGCCACCTTCCGAAGTACATTATCGAACTCCAATAGCATATCATGGACGATCTCAATTGCTACGAATTGTGGGCAATCTGCCCGCCTCATATTGCTAGGTTTGTTCAATCCTTCCTTGCATTGCGGCAGGTACAGCTTCTTCCTTGGCCTGCGTGTTCCCCAGATATGTCA